AGCGCGCCTGCGCGCCCAGTCACGTGGTGGCGCTCGGCGCGGAGCGGGTTACGAGTCGCGACCGCGGCAAGCCCGCGAGCCACGAGCAGATCGGTGCGGCGCTCTCGGTGTCCTTTAAGTCTATGTTGGCGGCGGCTACTCAGCTGTCGTTGGCCACCGCCCGCCCCCTCGGCCCGGCTCGGCTCCATACGGCGAGCGGAGCCGCCTAGCACCCTTCCTCGCCGACGACACGAGCGCGCGAAACCGCGTCTTTCAACTGACAATGAAACCGTAGCCTCCGCGTACGGCCGCTCCGGGCGAATGGGCGCGAGGCCGGGAGGGGGTCGGGGGACGACGGTTGGGCTACGCCCCGCCCCGGCTCGTGTTCCTATTGGCTGGCTCCGCGGTTCTGGGCCCGCCCCCTAACGGACCTGTCGCATTGTGACAGGTGGAAAAGCCAGTTCCTGTTGGGTTGGGGGCGGAGTCAGAGGTTCCTGCGCTCCGCCCGGGCTCCAGGGGGCTCCTCCTCCTGCTCCTCACGGCGGGGCGGGCGGCGGGTGTGAGAGGGAATGTCATTGCTGTTACGATTCGAGGTGCTGCCTCCGTCTGCTCCTGCTCCTTCTCTGGCGCCCTCGTCCCGTCGGCGTTCGCCGCTGCCGCAGCTGCACTGGGGATACGTATGGCTAGTGGGGCGCTGGGGCCATCAGAGTTGAGAGAGCGGCGGTCGCGGCCGCTGCGGAGGCGTAGACTCTCGGCCGCCGCCTCCACCCCCTGTTTCCCGGCCTCGCGGCGTTAAGGGCGGGAGCGCGCGGGGCTCTTCCCTCCTCCTTTTTCTTCCTCCTCCTCCTCCTCCTTCTCCGCCGGGTCTCCGCCCAGCACCCCTCGCACCAGGCGGCGGCGGCGGCGGCGGCGAGGAGCGAGACCCGCCGCCGGGGCACAACATGGCGGAGCCCTCGGCCCCGGAGAGCAAGCACAAGTCGTCCCTCAACTCGTCCCCGTCGAGCGGCCTCATGGCCCTGGGGAACAGCCGGCACGGCCACCACGGGCC